GTCCTCCTTCTGGGGGGAGTCCAGACAAGCTTTTTGAACTGGACCTCAAGAGGCCCACTGCGGCCCACGTAGGCCTCGGCGGCAACGCCAACACGGTCCCACCTGGCGGCCAGCTCTCTTTCCACCCCTTCGAGGACCAAATCCAAAAAATCAGCAACTTTGGCAACAGAATCTACCTGCGGGGCAGCGGTCGTAAGAACTGCGTGCCACGGATAAATCGGAGGCCTAGCACAGCCGATGGGAGGGGTCGACGGGAAAGCTTTCGGGACCTTGGCAACCCGAGCCCACACGGGCGTCTCCCGAGCCCTCAAAGTCAGCTGGACGGGGAGGTGAGGGTATGTGGTGGCCGCCTCCAAAACGCACGTGCAGGGGTCAAGCTTTGGCGCCAGCCAGCTGCTGCAAATGAAATAATCTATGTGCGTGCCTGGTGAAACCTGCCTGCAAGTGGGCGCCTCAGACACGAAAGCCAGTCCTCCAGCCGCCGCAATCCAGTCGGACTGGTCCAGGGCGGTGAGCGGCATGTTGAAATCGGCGCCGATGATCCACGGAATCTGCATGCCGTTGAGCACTGACAGGTACTCGATGATCTCCCACACCAGCTCGGCATTGCACGGTCCGTAACCTTCACCGTCCTTGAGATAAGCCGACAGGAAGACCACTCCTCCAGGCAGAAATGACATGACGTGCGCTGCCACCAGCCTGCCAGGGACAAGTACATGGCTAGCGCGGCCAGGAGGCGCCTTGATGGGAATGTGTGACCTGACCAAAACAGCAACTCCGCCAGTAGTGCCCGACCCTCCATCTTGGTTGGGCACTGCAGGGCCCCAAAGCCCTCTCCAGCCAGTGTCTTCAACTTGCGACTGACGTTCACCCAGCTTGGTATCAGGCACATGATGCTCTTGCGCCAGCACCACATGAGCGGTGCTGTCCACCAGGTAGTCGCACAGTGGACCCAGCGAGCTCGAGTTAAGCGTCACGATCAGAGAGTCGCTTTTGCCCTTCGCCTGCCCAGCAAACTTGACATCAGGTCGACGAACCCCTGGACAGTCGGTACCCTCTGCCACGCGATGCCCAACGGGCGAACGTGGTGAGCAGTGTTTTTTGTTCCATCCAGCCAGAGGCAGAGTTGAACTCTCCGCGCCGTGCGCGGGGCCGGGGAGCAACGGTGCGAGGGTCACTAACGGCGCACCGCCGGGCAGTCCCCACTCGCACCGCGCCCCCCGCTGGGTAGACAAACCCACGCCTGAACGTGGTGAGCAGTGCGTGCTGCCAGGGTCTAAAGGATGTATGCCATCGAGTCGCCCAGTCGAGCCATCAACTCTCGTCGAGCGAGGGGCCGACCACGTCAAAGCGCACGGTGCACATGTGGCGCTCTCTGCCTGCCCCCTGAGGGCAGGTAAGTGTAGCGACCGAGACGATGGCGTAGCACCCGTGGTCGCAGTAGCTGCCCTTGCAGAAGACGCAGTAGGGGCATTCTGAGCACATGGCCCAGGCAGATCAGGCTGACTGTCCACAGCTTGATCAAATTGAAAGGGGTCAACGTCAGGATCGTCCAGAAGAGAACTCCTGTGAGCTGTGGTCGGCTCTTCTTGGGCAGTAGGCGACGTCATTGCAACAAAAGGATAGCAAAGACAGAACAACACCACAACAAAGCACCCGACCACTTTACGCAGCGGTCGCACCACTGGTCTTGAACTTCTTGGTGAGCATGTGAACTTGGGCCAAGTGACGCTTGAGCTTGTCCCGTAACTCACGCTCCTTTGTATCGTCAATCTCCTCATCATCCCCGCCCACGTCGACGTCGATGCCACATTCTTTGAGATGTTCACGGCAAGTGCGACCGTCCAAGCTATCGACATGAGCATTAGCACGATCCTGATCTTCAGCGTCGTCGATATCCATGGACTCTCGAGCCTCAGGAGGAGTGGACTGAGTTTCGTGCTGAGGCGGCTCGGGCGCGACTGCCGCCTCTGGGGCTTCCTTGAGCTTCTGCACCAGAGCGCGCATGGCGATGAGGTCGGCACTGAAACGCTCCGAGCCGCCCAGCGCGCGGACCACGGCGTCAAACTGCTCCACCGTGGCCTCCATGCCTGGTAAGAATGTGGAGAGGGATGGTGACTTGTCATCGAACTGCACCGCGGGACCGACCACGTGGCGCAACCTCTCCTCGAGCTCCAGGATATGTTTGTTAGCATCATGCTCATCCTGCTCGACCTGCGCCAGGGCCAGCTTGGCCTTCTCCAGCGTAGCTCGAGCAGCCTCTTTTTTGACAGCAATACTGGATAGCTTCGTGCGAGCGGTCTTGAGCTGGCTGGTGAGCCCCTGCAGATTGGCCTCGATCGGTTTATCAGCCTGGAGCTCGGCCTGCAGTCGCTGCTTCTCGGCCTCATACACCGCACGCTGCTCGGCATCTTCAGGCCCCGACAGGATCTTGAGGAGGCTACCAAGCTTGGCGAGACGCTCACGCTTGACCGCCACTCCAGTGCCTTTAGCCCAGGGAGGAATGGCGGGCTCCTTGGACTCCAACTCCGTACCATTGTGACTTCCAACCAGCTTCTGCATGCGCTGCTGCAACTCCTCCAACTGTTTAGCGAGAAGCTTCTCCCGCTTTGTGACCAATTCATGAGAGCGCTGCACTGGAACTTTGGGCGGGGGCACCCCGTGAAAGGCGGAGCCTTTCGGAATGCCGCACTTCCCGCACCACTTCTGATCACCACGGTTGATCCAACTCGTTGCCGTAGGCTCATGCTTGCACCATTTGCAGTACCATGGGCCAGCCTCTGTGCTGCGCGACCTGGGCGCCATGGCAGGTCGGAAGAGCACGCGGCAAGGAGCCACGCGAGGCAAAGCAACAGGGCCGTGGTGGGGCTGGGCCGTGCGGGGCGGACCGCACGGCGCTCTGCCTGGGGCGAACCAGGCGAATGTCGAAAGCTGGCCGCGGACTAGCGGTATCCACTTTGTTCCCAGGGGAAACCAAAACCTTGAGCCAAAATGGCTTGAGCCAAAATGGCTACGAAGGAGGAGGAGGAGGGGGAGGGGGAGGGGGAGGAGGAGGAGGAGGAGGAGGAGGAGGAGGAGGAGGAGGAGGAGGAGGAGGAGGAGGATTTTTGCTCGTGGGCAGAAGCGATAGCCTTCTGACGTGGCTAGCGCCGATACCCTGCAGCCTATAAACCTGCAGGTGTGCGAACGGCAGGCGAATCAGAGGCCGATGCCCTTGTCCTTGCCCTTGCCGACGCGCCCAAGCGGCTCGAAGCCCGACTTACCCACGCCAGTGTTGACCATGGCGTAGGAGCCGCGGGGCTTACTCTTGCCACCCTTGCCCAGGCTGGGCTCGTTCTTCATGCACTCGAGGGGAGCGGAAGCAGCCGACGAGTTGTACTCCTTGAGCACGCCCTTGTGCTGCGACTCTCGCGCAACGTCTGTGTCCTGCACCGCCTGGTCAGTCTCGAGCGCCTTCTTGGGAATGGGGTTGTCGATGGTCTCCAGCTCCTTCTGCTTGCCCTCGAAACTCAGGAGGGTGGAGGTCCGCTGGTCCATCAGGTTGAAGGTATCGTGCACCACCTTCTCGATCTTCTCCTTGTCCCCATCCCCGTACTTGTAGTGTGGATTGTCGCAGCCCTGGTCCGAGTCCGTGCAGACAAGGTTGGACCAGTGCTCGTCTTTCTCATCCGAGGGGCCCGCCGTGTCGGACAGCTCGGATTGCTTGCGCCCGCGCCTGCGGCCGCGCTGCCGGCGCCGCTTCTCCGCGACCGGCAGGCCAAGGACGCCGGCGCCCTTGCCAATCTCGGCGTGGGCGGCGAGGTTGCGGTCCAGGCGGACCGCGCCTGGGACGGGCTGTCCCGCGACCTGGAGCGAGAGCGCCCGCTCGATCGCCAGGAGCCGCGTCGCCACCTCCTGCTCGCCCGCCTCGTCGAGCGGTGTCTGCTGGACGTCCTGCTGCAGGCCCAGCAGGGAGGCGCCAGTGCGGAGGGCAGCAGCCACGGCCGCAGCCACACTCTGCCGCCCGCCTCCGCCCTCCGCCGCGCCTGCCGCCGCCGCCCGAGCCAGTGGGGCGAGGGCCGCCACCAGACCCGCGCTCGGGGGCGAGGGGACCGTAGCCATTGCCAGGGCCGCAGGACGAGGGGACTGAGACAGAGCCGCTCTTTTTGCCCGCCGAGGCGACGGGACTCTACGGAGAGAGACAAGGCGCGCACCTCGCCCGCCTGGCGCCCAAGGCAGGCTTGAGCCAAAATGGCTACGGAAGAGGAGGAGGAGGAGGAGGAGGAGGAGGAGGAGGAGGAGGAGGAGGAGGAGGAGGAATGAGGAGGAGGAGACGGGAGGAGGGGAGGAGGAAGGAGGAGTGAGGGGAGGAGGAGGAGGAGGAGGAGGAGGCGGGGGAGTAGGAGGAGGAGGAGGAGGAGGAGGAGGAGGAGGAGGAGGAGGAGGAGAAGAGAGGAAGGAGGAGGTAGGAACAAAGCGACAAAAGTTGAGAGAGGAGGGGAAGGAGAACAAGCGACAAGGAGGGGGAGGAGAGAGGTGGAGGAGGGAGAGGAGGACGGGAGGGGAGGAGAGGAGGAGGAGGAGGAGGAGGAGGAGGAGGAAGAGGAGGAGGAGGAGGAGGAGGAGGAAAGGAGGGAGGAGGAAGAGGAGGAGGAGGAGGAGGAGGCGCGAGGAGGAGGGAGGAGGAGGCGGAGGAGGAGGAGGAGGTGGAGGTAGGGGGAGGAGGGGGGGGAAAGGGAGGAGGGGAGAGGAGGAGGAGGATCAGGAGGAGGCGGAGGAGGGAGGAGGAGGAGGAGGAGGAGGAGAGGAGGAGGAGAACAAAGCGACAAAGAGGAGGAGGAGGAGGTGGAGGAGGAGGAGGGGTGGAGGAGGAGGAGGAGGAGGAGGAGAGAAGAGGGGAAGGAGGAACAAAGCGACATAGAGGGGGAGGAGGGGCCGTCTCCACCCCCCAGCCGGGGCGGGCGGGGCTCCCCCAGCGGGGGCGAGGAGCCGCCCGCCCGCCGCCTCGCCGCCCGCGGTTCCTACGCGCCGCCCGCCGTGGCCGCGCCCCTGGCCCGCGGCGCCTCGTCGAGCGCCGGGCTCTTGTGCGGCGCCCGGGCGCTCGACGCCCGCGGGGTGGCGTCCTCCTCGCGGTGCGACGCGGCGCCCCCGGGGGCGCGGCGCGGCGAGACGCCGCCGTCCGCCCGGGGCGAGCGCGGTGCCGCCGCGGGGCGGAGGGCCTCCAGGACCGCCGCGTAGGGCCCGCTCGCGCCCTTGGCCTGCGCCACCTGGGGCAGCGCGCGGGGGGGGGCGGGGGCGGCCTTCCTGGCAGAAGAGAGGACGCCAATCGAAGTTTGAGCTTCTGGCGCTCCGCGCGGATGTCTTGAACCTGCGCTGGACCCCCCTCCCCGGCGCGCGCCAGGGGCGGCTCCGGAGGCGCCGCCGCGGGGGCCCAGCGCGGATCCAAGAAGTCCGCGCGGGGCGGCAACAGTTTATGTCTGTGGCGCCTTTTCCTCTTCGACTTCTGGGGAGGCTCCCTGGAAGACTTCTGAGACCGCCCGCGCGTGCCTCCTCCGACGGCCGCCTCCCCCCCCCCTCGTCTTGGGCGTCGCCTAGAATGGGGGGGGGAGCGATGCGCATGGGAGGGTAAGAAAAAACTGCACTTCTCGGGCCCTGCAGAGGCACCCGTTCGGGCCCGAAGAGCCCTTGGGGCCCCCTTTTCCGCAACCCTCGCTGCCCCCCCAAACTGGCGGATTCCGGAAACCCTGAACCCAAAAAGGTTATCACCTCTTGGGAGGTCGACTTCTGCTTCCGCCGGCTTCCGCTGGCGGAGGCGGCCTAGTTTTAGGTCGGACCTGTCCCCCTACAGTGGGGCTTTGGGAGAAAAATTAAACACATTCGAAACATATTCAAAAATAGTAAGAACTACAAAAAATGACCCCTTCGAAACCCAAGAATAGGGGAACAAAAGGTGACATAAACATAAAAACTCGGAGGTCTGCGCGGCTTTCTTGGATCGGCGCGGGACCTCCCTCCCTGGCGCGCGGACCGCGCCAGGGGTGGCGCCGGAGGCGCCGCTGGGGTGGCCCAGCGCCGATCCGAGGAATCCGCACGGACCACCGAGCTTCTATGTTTATGCCAACTTCTGCTCCCCTCCTATCTTGGGTCTCGATGGCTCTGCCAGGGAGAGCGCGGCGTGCCCAGGCCGAGTGCCGATGGCTTTCGTGCGCATGGCACTGCCCCCCCGAAGAGGCCCAGGAGGCACCCTGGAGGGACGCAGGGTGCTCCTGGGCCCCTTACTGCCGCGCGAAGGGCAGGGGAGGGGGAGGAGGAGGAGGAGGAGGAGGAGGAGGAGGAGGAGGAGGAGAAAGGAGGAGGAGGAGGAGGGGGAGGAGGAGGAGGTGGGGAGGAGGCGGAGGCGGAGGAGGAGGAGGAGGAGGAGGAGGAGGAGGAGGAGGAGGAGAGGAGGGGGAGGAGGAGGAGGGGGAGATGATGATGATGATGATTGATGATGATGTGATGATGATGATGATGATGATGATGATGATGATGATGTGATGATGATGATGATGAGGAGGAGGAGGCAGGAGGAGGAGGAGGAGGAGGAGGAGGAAGAGGTAGAGGAGGAGGAAAGAGGAGGGAGGAGCAGGAGGAGGAGGAGGAGGAGGAGGAGGAGGAGGAGGAGGAGGAGGAGGAGGAGGAGGAGGGAGGAGGAGGCGGAGGGAGGAGGAGGAGGAGGAGGAGGAGGAGGAGGAGGAGGAGGAGGAGGGAGATCGGAGGAGGAGGAGGAGGGCCCCTTCCTGCCGCGCGAGGGGCCGAGCGCCTGCTCCGCCGTCTGGCCCCGCGAGTTGAGGAGCCGAGGGTCGGCGCCCTCCCGCAGCAGCAGCTCCACCATGCGCGCGTTGCCCGCCTCCGCGGCGTGGTGCAGGGGGAAGACGGTCCTGGGCAGCGTGCGCGCGGCGTGCTCGACAGAGGGAGCGC